AGGAGGGTTCCGGAGGGTGCCAGAGTGTGTGCTCGTTGTGTTGGGAGCACTGCCTCGGCCTGCGAGGGTGGCCAGGGCTGATCCTGGGCAGGGAGGGGGAGGGGGAGCAGCAGGTGTGCCTTTGCCAGGAGGGTACCTGTACCACGTCTCCAGGCCAGCGTGTCACCTGCCCCACGGACCTCACGGTATCTCTAGAACAGATTGCTCAACCTTTTGGAGTTGCAACACCTTACTGTGGTATGACCTCTTCACCCAGTTGTGTTCCATCATTCTTCCCAGAAAACGTGCCTCAAAGGGAATTCCAGCTTATTTTAGGATGTCTTTGTTTGGGGTTGTTCCTACTCTCAGGTTTTGTTTCAAAGGTACTCAGCCCATAAATATATTTGAATTACAGTTTATTCTTTGGTTTAACAATATTCCTAAGACTTTGGCTCAGTTTAGACTTCCCCATCATGGTAGAACCACAAGAGCACGTTTTTTAAAGATTGGTTTTATGGACCTCATGTTATTTGAAATGTAGATTTAAAAAATGTGACATAAAAGCTGCACGTGAGCCCTGTCTCGGACAGGATTTCTGTGGATCGCCGTTGTTGAGAGCGGCACAAGGAGACCACCCCCCTCTGGGAAGGGGATGTCCTCGGTTTAATCCCGTGGAGCGTGCAATTCACCCCCACGCACCCGCACCTGCATCATTGCTTATGTGCCCCACTTTCATACATTCGCTGGAAGCATATCCTAAACATTTCTGAAGCACATGGTGTAGTCCAGCATTTGTGTGAAGGGGACCTGCACCCCAGTTTGGCTGAAACAGAGCCCCTCCTTAGAGCTTTACAACTAGAGCGATGGCTCCCAAGGCGTTGGCTTGTCTGACGCCAAAGCCCCCTGTTGTCACCTCGACCTCCCTGCCACCTCCACCACAATCCACAATCGGCCCTTTCAGCTCCTCCAGGAGCTCTAGGGTTTCCAGAAGTCTCGATGTCATTAAAGCAGCAACCAGGTGGACCAGGCGGCCAGGATCGTGTCTGCCCCGAGTCTGGGCTGCGAGCCCCTCCACCCCTCCTTTCCTGAGCTTAAGCTGCTCTGGGAGACAACAAAAGGCTTTCCTCATGGAAAGTTTTACTAACCTGGCCCGGTGCCCGCGTCTGAGGCCTTCCCGTTCCCGACGATGATTGAAAGAGTCTGTATTACGGTGAGCAGGCACGCGGCGTCGTTAATATTGTGCACATTAATATTGTGGACGTCCTGCCACACGACGCAGGGGAGGCTGAGCTCAGCTGTGCACCAGTTCATTAGGGTCCAGCCTGAATGACGTGGATGTCTGCATGGCGGTCACCAGGCGTAAACACGGCACTGGGTGCCACACAGCGATGGGGACTCCGGCTGGTCGCCAAGGGAGCCCAGCAGCTCTCCAAGTCGCTCTCTTGAGACCCTGCGAGGGGAGCTCATCCGGTTCCCAGCCCGGAGCTGCAGGCCGTGGAGCAGGACCTCGAGCTGCTCCCTTCCCAGGTGCTACGGCGGCCTCTCCCTGTGTGCCTCTCTGGGATGTCAGAGTCTCTACACCAGCGGTTCTCAACCTGTGGGTCGTGACCCCTTTGGCGGTCGAACGACCCTTTCACAGGGGTCTGCATATCAGATATTTACATTATGATTCATAACAGTAGCAACATTACAGTTATGAAGTAGCAACAAAAATAATTTTATGGTTGGGTCACAACATGAGGAACTGTATTTAAAGGGCCCGAGGTTGAGAACCACTGCTCTACACAGAGATGTGGAGCGGACCTCCCAGGGACTCTGTGCCTTCGAGGGGCTCAGACATTGGCTTAAATATCTTAGTGTTTGTCTAGAACAGATAAACCCGACCATCACCTGCAAACCACCAGTGGCTGGTGGTTGGTGTGAGGACCATCTTGCTAACCTGTGGAGGCTGGGACAAGCATGGTCTCTGCTGTATCTTGGAAGGTGTGTGTGTTCGTGTTGGAAACCCGTTGCCGTGGACTCCCGGGCAGCAGCAGGTGGGGACCTGCCCCTCGGTGAGGAAGGAATGGAAAGGCAGGCATGGCTCTGCATGTCCGCTGAGTCAGGTTGTCCATAAATAGGGCTGTGACGGCAGCGT